GAAGCGCCGAATAATATCACCGGCTTGATCTGGGGCAGGAACGTGAGAACGGACCGCGTTGCAGATGGAACTGAGTGGGACATCTGCCAAACCAAGACGGTCGAACCAATCAAGGCCAAGGAGGTTCAGTTTGGCAGCAGCAACATAACATGACCCAGTGAATGTCGTTCCATTGAATGAGAAACAGCATTGCAGTTCTCCAGAGAGCCGCAGTTCACCGCCACAGGCACTGATGGCGGTTCTGGATGAGCGTCGGGTAGGTGGTGGCCCCAACGTATTCCAAAGTGTCTCCGATATGATCGTGATGTCCGACGCAGTGTCCAACTGCAGTTGGACCGGACGTCCATTTACCAGGACAGTGAGGAACTTCCGTTGTGACGGGGCACTGACTTGAAATGTTGCAAGCAGGCTCAAAGCGGAGCCCACCTGCTTGGAAGTCTGCGGGCGTGGGTGCTGCTTGGATGCGCCATGGGATGTACTGGCTGGGCGTGCCTTGCAGTATCCGTCTTTGTGGCCAACGGTCTTGCATTGTCGGCATCGATGTTGTTTGTAGGGGCACAATTTGACAAAGTGCCAAGCCCCACAGTGCCAGCACGGGGATGACGGCTTCCTCTTCTGGACATTCTGCTGACTTGATTGGGCATTGCCAGAGCGCGACGGACCAGAGGAGGACAGGCCAGAGGTTTGAGAGCCAGGTGGCTTGGAGGCCTGGTTAACCGCATGAACTTCGGGACCACCTTGGCCCCCAGATTGGACCAAAGTGGTGTCACGCTGTAGGTTAGTCAACCGTTGGTATTCGTCTGCAATGGCGTTGAGTGTCAGCGAGGGGTCTTGCTCCAGTCGGCTGAGCAAGCGCGTCCGTATGTCTGCGAACTTGGGAGATTGGAGGCTGCATATGAAAATCAGGGATTTGAACTGGTCAGTTGTGAGCGACTTCAATTTGAAACGTTCGCATTCGCGATTAACAATGCCAACGTGTGTCAAAAAGTCATCTGACTCGTTCATAACCAACTTTAGACATCGGTACCGCGTGTTGAATAGAGACGACCGTTCCCCAAAGGTTACCATAAGCGTCTGTACGGTGTCATCGAATGACCTGTCGCGTGGGTTCTGTGGCAGGATGAGGTTGCAGTACTTGTCCAGCTCTGCCGGGCCAAGTTTACGAAGCAAGAGCCGGACTTTCCATGCATCGTCCTGCGCAGCGAGATCAACTCGGAATAGGTCCTCGTAGCGGCGGAACCACGTCTCGAACGTAACGTTAGCGTCTGGATCGTAGTTAAATTCCGCTATGCTATTCGCAATCGCATCTACCTGCTGAGCGAGCGCTGGATTGGACGTAGCACTACTAGCGGGAACCTTTAGCTGCGTAAGCATCTCGATGAGTTTAAGCTGTTGCTCGAGTAGGGCCTCTACTTTCGCAGGATCCATTACGAGTAGAACGAAACACCTCGTCGCCAAATGCTATGTGTCGCAATCGGGTACGACCAACGGATATACGCGACCTGAGAACGAGCGCACAACTCCCCAGCTATGACGCGAGCCCAACCACTCCTAGCGCAGACAGAGGAGAAGACCAGACCTTCAGAAGAGGGCCTTTACTGCCTCAACCAAAGGCGAATTACAGCGGGAACAACGTCGTATATATATATCGAGCGAACTTGGGAGCGATAAGTCAGCTAATGCACACAAAGTATAGCTGCCCAATAGGAAAAGAGCGCGATCTTTACGGATTGAGATGCAACATGGCGGAAAGGACGCGAAATTTAAAATTTCAAAACTTTTTGAAAATAAATTGGCAATAACTCGGAAAATAAGCAGTTTTTGGGGATACTGACATCCCCAACAATTCCACATTCCACCCGAATGCCCACCTAGTACTCAGTATGCCGAACTTCAGCTGCACCAAGTGTTAAGCATGAACGGCCTTCTATGCAAAAGTTCACCTAGCGGCTAGGATCAGCCCTTCGTCGCCAAACGAACATATTTCGGTGCATTTCGTTACCGGAGATAATTTCTTTACTTTCATTCAGGACCCTTTCAAAGTTCTATCACGTTTTTCCAATGTGGATTAAAACAACCTAAGTCCTATTACACCTGATTACCGGAGAAGCTATACTAGGCATTTTGTATTTTTTGGAACCCATCGCAACAGAACGGCAACGTCAGGGTTATTGTGTTCTTTCTTTTGGCATACAAACAGTGCTTCAAAATCTCTGGCGCATGAGGTTACATCCAAGTCAAATTGTGCACTTGAAAAAGGTAGCCTCCTAAACTATTTTCCTTAATACTTGCTTCTCTAATTCATAGTGAGAGAAATCACCACGCGGATTACAGTTGGACGTTCGCAAGCCCTTAGTATGAGTGTGAACGGTACCGAAGGAGGTAAGCAGGTCATCATCATTTCCCCGTCTCGTGATCACAAAATTATCATCACTGTATTACCGTTAGCTACGTTGCGAACATTCAAAGACTTCGGTAATTTCCAACTCCAAATATTTCGGAACAATATTAATTACGGTTAATGCAGTAGGGGAGCTCAGATCAACTTGTCCATCTACCGGTATACGTTTCTTTTGAAGGCAAAAGAGTGGGGCGTAAACATAACTCGCTGCTCGATGGAGTTACTTGCGTTTTGGGGGTGGTGCTCAAAAATAAGCTTTAAACATTTGAGCATGGCGACGTGTTGCAAATTCATACCGATTCATGGTACACTCCTTACGGTCACAGTTTGTCAACAGCTGTTTGATTGATTGCGCCAGAACAAGAGGATGAACGTTCAAATAAGAGTCATGTGAGTGTCCATTCTATGAATCCCGCAACAATCAACAACTAAAACAAAGCTGTTCAACAGGTTTCAAGCGTCTGTGGTGCTACCTGGCTGGAAAGTTCTGACAGACGAGCCGGCCGACCGACACAACAAACGTACTTTACTGGGTCGTCGTTTGAGGCGTCCGGCTTTCATCTTACACCACTCAAAATGTTCACCTCCTCAGACGTGAAAATTCAAATACGTCCAGCGTTAGCTGATGGGGTAGTGGTGACAGTATCGCCCCGCATGCCGCGCACTGCCAAGTATTTACACTGTTGATGAGCGAAACTCGAGTCCAGCGCTTTTAAAGATCACGAGAACGATTGCTCAAACGAGTGTTGCAAGTTTGCGTTCTACTAATGTGAACGCAAGTATCTCCTAAACGTGAGTTGAGGAAAAAACGATTAAGGGCCCTTGGAAACACCCCATGTTCTCGTAAGAAGTACTTCGTAATTAGTGATGGCTTGACCGCTTGGATCAAATTTCATCGCACCGTTCGGTGCGCGATCGATGAAATTGGACTTCAGATCGCAAAATATGATAGTGTAGTTCTCGTTTTACTTTAAACAACCCGGAATCCAAGAGGATCAGAAGCATATCAATTCCAAACTGGGTAATCATCATCTAATTCGGCTCGAGTTCAAACGGTACTTAAGACGGCAGTGTGAATAAGAACGACTAAAAAAAACGATAAAATGCAACTGATTTACCTGATTGTGGTGGACACGTACAGACTCTTGTAAAAGATAGATCATAAGATTTGGTTATCAACTGGAAGCATCTCGATCCCATGTGCAGTGTAGTAAGGTCATTTATTTCTCATGCCATTTGGTCTTTTGGTCAATACTACTAAAATGTTGATGGTAGGTAAACTAGTACGAAAGATTGTGAGCCAATAAGATTACATAGCTTTAGACTAAAAAACTCCTTCAGAGTATAAATACAGTTTGCTCACCTGTCTGTTCGCCGAGTTGCTTCACTGAACATGATTTTCAAACTAGCACGATGCATTGTACTTCTGACTATCGTTCAACTATTGAAAGCTGAGGTGTTTCGTAAGTGACTATGGTACTGCGTTTATTTTTGTTTATATTTATGTCGTGCACTACGATGTCTGCGCACGAACTATCTAACTGTTCTCATATATCAATCTGATAACACATGTTGCAGGTGAAGTGAGCAAAAAATATACTCAGGCCGCTTTCAGCTACAAAACCCAATCTACATCTCACAGTTGTCGTTTGAGCCCGCCTAAATTTTGCTTCTTGCTTGCTCGTCAACTGTCTGCCTACTTCGTAAAAGGCTCTACGACGTCTACCTAGGAATTTCTTGTGCGCCACATGCAAAGACTTGATTTGAGATCCAAATAGATTTGATTCACGAAATACGTGAATAAATGACTCGTCATCTGTGAAATCCGGGCGTCAGAGCAGATTTAGCAGACAGATGATGAGTTCAAGTGTAAACCAAAAATTTTCAGCCACTATGCAGATATATGCAGTAATGTGAATCACTGACATCACTGAATGCAAAAATGCCAACCAGATTATGTGGTGGAATCCACTTAGTTGGCTCAGTACTCCAATACACCAATTTAATTAATAGCTGTCTGGAGACCTACGACTGGTTCTTTGTCACAGGCCGAAATGCAGCTAGACCATTGAGCACGGTGTTTTCGCACTGAATGATCTAAGCTGTTTCTATTATTCGACTGAGATCCATGTAGTTGATTGATGGTTGATGTCTATCCGGTCGAATTTAACCTACCGTAACAGAATTCCACTATTCGATAAGTCAAGTGAATAAGTCAAGTGTTCTTTGGTCACACTTCCACACTACATGTCTATACTCAGCGGCGGTCAAGCGTTCGGCTGTAATTGTACTTGTAATGGTTAGTGTGTGTGGGCTAGTTACCAAAATATACTGTTATATTGTATCCTTCACTACGATCAAATGGTCAACCAACAATGCTACGCATGTATTTTCGCCAGCACTTACCGGCTCGTTTGTGACCTCACAATTTCTTTCTGTTTCAGTTGATTTTGAACCCTGTAAGTCCACAAATGAGTATTTCTGGACGCCAAGCTTGATTTCAAATCGATAAAAGTTTGTCACTTTTGGCGAAATAGACTATTGTGTTTTTACTTATAGAATTACTAGTGCTGAATAGTGAATTCCGCACCGCATTATTTGCTTTTACCGTGACCAACAAGGTAGTGTCTAAATACTGAACGACCAGACAACCCAGGTTTTCTGAAAATAGGGTAAGCATAAGGCTGGGTCTTAAAATAACAAATATTTTGTTCGGTTCTAAACGGAGATATATTCCTCACATTGACGGTTGTCCGCGGGAAACTAAGGGATCATTTCATCTAGAATGGGTGAAAGCTTTGGCATCTCTAAATTGTCCAGCTTGTATGTTGTTTTGGTCAAAAGTGTTCTTGATTGTTTTCCCAAGGCTTTCTTAGTCGACTTGTTTGTTTCTGGAAGTGTATGCTAGATACTGTTTCGGTAGAAAATGTAAACACTTATCAAGAAATTCCAGCATCATTTTTTACTGAATGTTCTGAAATCAAGTCTCAGATAAATTATTTCTGAAATAAGCTTTGAGAATGCCAGTCTCGCGCCATAGATATTGAATTTGTTTTTGATCGTGAGTTGTGCGTTTATTCTTCCCTAGTTTCAATCTCATATGACGGTTAGTTTTGATATTCAATTTGCCTGCTATTTCGGGTCTATATTTAATATAATTTGTGAAAAAAATGTGTTCAGAAATAACACGGAGCAGCTGGGATTAGGCGGTTAACCAGCCTAATCACATCTAGTAGACTAGATTTGCGTAGCAGCTGACGAATTTTAACAAAGCCAGGAAACGACAGGCTGAAAACTTCTGGAAGTTTTCATCTGGATAGAGGCTCCTTGTAAAATATTAACCTTTAACAGGAATGCGTCTCCCACTGTTTAGGATGCTCTATCGGATGCGTCAATCTTAATCAGGATCAATATATAATATACGATATAAATGTATTATAATATACATATAAAATAACATACTACATAATATCAATATATAAGCTTGTCCCAATTGGACGTAGGAATTTTACTTAGTTTTTTGCGGACGGACTAAGTAACTGGTGATCTGAGTGTCTAGGCAAGTCTGACGTTATTTGAATTACTTAGCATATTCATTACGATTGTTAACGTGGCGGACTTATCAACCTGCACCTATTTGCATACCAGTTTGGTTTTGACGACAGGTTCACCTAAAAGCTGGCTGAATCTCTCATTTGTGATGTTCCTAGGAAACTGAATATGCCAAACTAGGCCGCCTCATGTTTCGTCTGGTATGTTATTCGAGATATCGCGATACACGTTATAGAACTGATGCCCTATCCACAGGTTCGCTGTCCGAGTCGTGCACTGCGTCTATACGACTGGTAGGGTGTTTAAAACTAATGCGCGTAGACTAAAATATAACTCAGACTGCACAGTTTGAGGGCTACTTTTTTCAGCTTCATATATGTGATACAGCAGTGAAGAGATGTACTAAGTTGGACCTTCTTATTTCGACTACCGTTTCTACTCCCAAACTCCCAAAAAGTATATACAGTATACGATTGAAAGAATCTGAGGGTAATGACATTCAGTACGCTGAGGAATAGTATTCTTCGACTGAAAAAAACATATGATAGCCCGGATATAGATAAATTTACAAATGTAAACAGGAAATATCTGATATATGTTAAGATGAGTTTACAGTGAGTCTGTTAAGCAGGAGTCTTGTTTCCGAAACTGTTCTCTTTATTAACTAATTCAATGGTTTGCATTTACAGAGTCCTACTCCACAACCTTAGTTTTTACCTATAATTGTCTGAACAAAAAAGCTAGGTTTGTAGGAATGCTAGATTTGGCAGCAAAAGCCAAGCGCAAAAGACCACTGTTCTTTATATCGGGTGTGCCGCTCCGCATTTGCTTGACACTGAAGCTCTTAGCATGCTATATCTACGACGGTACCAAAATCGATATACTGCGACCGATTTATGTTGAACTACTGCCAGCAATATTTCATTCGAATCTGTAAAATATGTCTAGCCATTGTGTGGCTCGCGAGCTGTCTGTAACATTAGTAGATCGGATGCATATACGACACTCCAGTAACAGTTACTTCTCGCTGTGGAAATTTTATCAATCATTAATTTTGCTGAGTATGTAACTTACGGTCCCATCTCCTCAAGTCTGCACGGGCTAAAGTTCACTCGTGTGAACCGCTAAAGGCCACTGCTGCCATAGTACCAGACAACCTCCAAATGGTAAAATCCAGTGGGTTTAAGTAGAACAAAATGCTTTTAGGATCAGCAAACTGGGCATTTTATTTCCACACTGTATTCTACTCACAGTCAGCTTTATGCGTACAAACAGCCAGCGGTTGTACAGATAGTCAAGCTGGATCGCAGAATACCTATCACAAATACTATATTACCAGGCATGAGAGCTCTAACCTCTGAGTTAATCTGATTAAGATTAGTTGTTCAAATAGTCGGCTGGTTAATTTTTCTAGTTTACTCGTATTGGT